AAATAAATAGAATGGATGTTAAATCTCTTCAAGATGCCATCACAATACCTAGCAGTAGGATTTCTTTTCTACAGAAATCTAAAAAAAAAGAGTGACACCTGTGGCTCAAAGGAGTAGGGTGCCGTTCCCATATACTGGAGGTGGCAGGTTCAAACCTGGCCCTGGCCAAAAAACAAACAAACAAACAACAACAAAAAAAAATAATAACTGCAGAAATTTAAGAAACAAAACCCGAAACTCATGGACTTTCAGGAATTATTTAAGAGAGACTGAAAACTCCAAGTTAAAAATAGCTTTTACCTGACTCCAGGAGGAGCAAGTAGAATCAGTAATTACCCAGCAACAAGAATCAGTGTGATGCCAAGCTCCTTTAAGCCCTGTCTCAGGAGCACAGACAAGTCAGTTCAGCCCATCAACTCTGCAGTCCAGGCAGGAGTTAGGGAAACAGCACCTGTCGCTGGACAGGCAGGCCTGCCTTTGAATCTTGGCATTTCCCTGAGAAGTTTATTTATAAGCTTGGGCAAGTAACTTAATTCTCTAAGTCTCAATTTTCTCATCTGCAAAATGGGAGTAATAACAATAGTACCCTATCCTTACCCTCTTTGGTGCCTGTGAGGATTCATTGAGCTGACATATGTAAGCTTTTGGGTCATCCTATCTGGTAAAATAAACACATGTTAATGGCTATTGTTAGTATTTCTACTACTTTTACTCTAAACCAAGGAATTTCTCTAATGCTGACCTACTCAAGGACATCCCGGAAGAGCTCAGTTTTGGAGGGATGGAGGGGAAAGAAGTTTGTTGCTTGAGAGCACTGAAAGTGGATTTAAATTCTACATCTCCTTCAAGTCCTCCATCTGATGTTAAACACTTCGAAGTGCCCATAACAGGTACTCCACACACTCACTTTGCCAACTCATTATATTCTGTCTCAGATTACCCCTTAGTTTTCTGTCTTTTGGAGCTTGACACATAACATACATATGGAAGGTAAATAAGAAAGAATAAGAATGTGTGTCACTATTAGCTCTTTTCTCCTTCTTCTTTCTCCACTAATAGCCATCTTAATAATTAGATTAATGATGAAATCTTCTGGTCACTGAGTACGTTGTGTGCTTGGCACAAGGCATCATACCTTGAAGTGGGGGGAGGTCGTAGTTTGAAAAACTTTCTCCAGGTGTCTTCCAAGGTTGACCATAACCCACATTAAGAAATGTGGGACCTAATCAAGCTAAAAAGCTTCTGTACAGCTAAGGGCCCAACAACTAAAGCAAATAGACTACCTTTAAATGGGAGAAGATATTGGTATGCTAAAAATCTCACAAAGGGCTAACAACCAGAATCTACAAAGAACTCAAACAAATTAACAAGAGAAGAGCAAATAATTGCATTTATCTTTGGGCAAGAGACATGAACAGAACCTTCTCCCAAGAAGAAACACCTGGAAACATGCTCCTTTTCCCTAATCATCAGGGAGGTGCAAATCAAAACCACCCTGAGGTATCACCTAATCCTAGTGAGAATAGCCCATATCACAAAGTCCCAAAGCTGCAGATGCTGGTGTGGATGTAGAGAGAAGAGAACACTTGTGTGTTGTTGGTGGGACTGCGAACTAATACAGCCTTCCGGGAAAGAAGTATGAAGAATCCTCCAACAGCTAAAAGTAGACCTTCTGTTTGATCCCATTACTAGGTATCTACCCAGAAGAAAGAAAATCATTTTACCATAAGGACATTTGTACTCAAATGCTTATTAAAGCTCAATTCACAATTGCAAAGATGTGGCAACAACCCAAGTGCCCATCAGCCCCGGAATGGATAAATAAACTGGTATATATAGCATGGAGTACTATTTGGCCATAAAGAAAGATGGAGACTTTACACCTTTTGTATTTATCTGGAAGGAACTGGAGAACATCCTCCGAAGTAAAGTCTCACAAGAATGGAAAAGCAAGCACCCAATGTACTCAATACTAATATGAAACTGGTAGATGAACAACTCTAGGCCCGTAGGACAGAAAAACACAATTCAATTCAATAGGGGGGGAGAAGTTGGTAAGTTCTCACCTAATGGGTAGAATGGAGGATATATGGCCCAACTCCTGAGTGAAGGGCTTAACTACAAATTGGACTTTACCTAATAAATGCAAACAATATAACCTAATCACAGATACCCTTAATCCAAAATTTTAAAAAAAGAGAGGACAAAAAAGAAATATAAATTACACTCAAATCAGGTATATATCTCAAATTTTTTTTTGAAATAATGTTTATATTCTTGAGAGGCTTTCTGATGCATTTCTATTCTCCTGAATTCTTTCATTAAAATGATGGCTGTGAGACTATGGAGAAATTGGAACTCTTATACATAGCTGGTGGACATGTAAAATGGTCCAGTCTCTTTGGAAAACAGTTCGACAGTTCCTCAAAATTTTAAACAGAGTTACCAAATGATCTAGAAATTCTATCCCTACATATGTATCCAAGAGATATGAAAAAACATCTGTATTAAAAATTTGAGATGAATGTTCATAGCAGCATTATTAATAGTAATCAAAGATGGTAACAACCAAACGTCCATCAGTGATCACTGAACAAACAAAACGTAGTATGTCTATACAATGTAGCCATGAAAGGAATGGAGTAGTGACTCATGCTACACTGGACGGCTCTTGAAAACACCATGCTAAGTAAAAGAGGCCAGTTATGAAAGACCACACAGTGGGTAATTTCATTTCTATGAAACATCCAAAGTAGGCAAACCCATCAAAACCTACAGTAAACTTGTGATTGTCTTGGGCTGGGAGGCCAGGTGGGGGACATGGGGAGTGGGTATGGAGTTTCTATTTGAGGTGATGAAAATGTTCTAAAACTAGAATGTAAAACCCTGTGAAAGTGCAACCCCCCCCCCCCACACACACACACTGAATCAAATACTTTAAGGGGAAGAATGTATGGTATGTGGATTACATCTCAGTACAGCTGCTCAGAATATATTCATTGCTCTCACCATCCCAAATGCACCATGATACAGTGGAGAACTATTATCCCACAGTGTGCTGCTGCTATCCTTTTCTTGAGAATGACCGCTTGACCAGGGGAGATGGCAGCTGGTGGTGGGTGATGGGCAGACAGGTGTAGGGGTCAACTGTGGCAGGGGGATGAAAGCCACCGGTGGTGGCACGTGTCCCTTGCCTGTCTACGACCTTGACTGCATTTGCAGCAGCACCTATCCTGCAAAAGGACTGCATTTCTCGGCCTTCTTGACAGCAGGGGTGGCCAAGGAGAACAGAAGCCCTTGGTCAGATTTCTGGAGAGCTTCTTTGCTTCTAATTCTTTTTATTGTGTTAAAATACATATAACATAAAAATCTTAACCATCTTAACCATTTTTAAGTGTGCAGTTCAGTGGCATTAAACACATTCATAAAGCTATGCACCTTCACCACCATCCATCTCCAGAACTCTTTTCATCCTGTGAAATGATCCCCATTAAACACTCGTGTCCCATTGCCCCTTCTGCCTAGCCCCTGGAGACCACCATTCCGCTGTCTGCCTCTGTGATTCTGACAATTCTAAGTACCTCCCAGAAGTGGAATAATACAGTATTTTTCTTTCTCCTCGTTTCACTTAGCATAATGTCCTCAAGGGTCATCCCTGTGGTAGTATGTTATAGAATTTCTTTCTTTTTTAAGGCCAAATAAAATTCTATCACATATATATGTAACATACATATATCCACATTATATTTTGATCATTGCTCATATGTTGATGGACACTTGGGTTGTTTTCCCATTCTGGCTATTGTGAATAATGCAGTTAGGAATAGGGATGAACAAATATCTCTTTGAGATTCTGATTTCAGTTCGTTTAGATATATACTCAGAAATGGAATTGCTAGATCATGTTAATTCAATTTTTATTTTTTCTGGAAACTGCCATACATTTGCCATGGCGGCTGCACCATTTCACAGTCTCACCAGCAGTGCACAACGGTTCCAGTTTCTCCACAAACTCGCCAACATAATCTCTCTCTTGTAACAGGTTTGTACTCTGTTGCACAGGCTGAAGTGCATAGCTCACAGCAACCTCAAACTCCTGGGCTCCAGTGATCCTCCTGCCTCACCCTCCCCAGTAGCTGGGCTTATAGGCACCCACCGCAATGCCTGGCTAATTTTTCTTTGTTTTATAGAGACTGTCTCCCTCTTGCTTGGGCTGGTCCTGGTCTCAAGCAATCCTTCTGCTTCAGCCCACAAAGTGGTAGGGCTCCAGGTGTGAGCCTCACCCTTGCTTTCTATTGTTTGACAGTAGCCATCCTAAAGGGTGTGTCTGGGGGAGACTTTTGGGAGTATAGAGGCTGACTCAGACCCTTTTGTGCCTTTCTTCTCTTTCTCCCTTGCGTTCAAATATAAGGGCACAGCCTCCAGAAGCCACCTGTGACCTTGGGGAGAAATCAGTTTCAGGGCTGATAAAGAAAGGAGGGAGGAGAGTGAGTTCCTGACACTTTCTTTCTTTTTTCTTTTTTGAGACAGAGTTTTATTTTGCTGCAGCATTATAGTTCACAGCAACCTCAAAGTTTTGGGTTCAAATGATCCTCCTGCCTCATCCTCCCCAGTAACTGGGACTACAGGTGCCTGCCATAATGCCCGGTTACTATTTTTAGAGACAGGGTCTTGCTCTTGCTCAGGCTGGTCTCAAACTCTTGAGCTCAAGCATTCTGCCTGCCTCAGCCTCCTAGAGCCTTGACACTTTCCTGAAGCCACCTCTGCTGTCTGCCTTTGGACTTCTTTTCTGTGACTAAATAAATTCTTAGTTTGCTTACTCCCCAAGTTGAGACTCTAGTAGCAGCCAAAAGAATTTCTAAACGATATACCATCTAAATGAACAAACTCCATTGCACAGGAGCTGCAGATCCTCTCCTGCCAGGACTTCCACCTCCCTCACCTTCTGCCAGAGCTTCTCCCCGAGGCCCGGCTCCAGAGGGAAAGGAGGAGCCACATACCTTGTGATCTTGAAAATCCTCAGCAGCCGGACACATCGAAGTACAGAGATGCCCAGGGGAGACATGACCTTGGTCTCCACCAGGATGGTCTCCAGGATTCCCCCGCACACGATGAAGCAGTCAAAGCGGTTGAAGAGGGACACGAAGTAGGCCTGCAGGCCCAGGCTGTACATCTTCAGGAGCATCTCCGCCGTGAAGAGCGCCAGCAAGGCCTTGTTGGCCGTGTCTGGCAGTCCCGGAGAGGCAGGCAGGGAGGGAGTGAGTGGGGGTAAAAAAAAAACAGCAATTACCACGTTTGGAAAAGAAGCTCTCCCACCCTTATACTGATTCTGTCTACTCAGTCCAGAGCAGAGCGATTAGGGTCAAACCAACAGGAAAGGGCTGTCCGGTCACAACCACAGGAGATGTTTATTGAACATCTTCACACACCAAAGGCTCAGTACACATTCTCTTCTCATGCCCGTTTTCCAGAGGTGAGAGGTGAGGTTGAGAGAGGTGAGTGATGTACGTAAGTCAAGCCCCCACAAGTTGAAGCAGGGCTGTCTGAGCATGACTCTTCCCCCCAGACCAATTGCCTCTCAGGGCCCTGCAGTGGGAGTCTGCTTGATTCCCCAGGAGTGACGCTGAGGCTGGTTATTGGGGCCCTCTTCCAGGGGCCCGGGGATGGGCGGAAGAGCAGTAAGAACCCAAAGAGGACCCCTGCGCCCAGGCTGATATTTTTGTCTTCTCTGCCTGTTGGCTCATGTCTTTCTCACATGTTCTGTTTAAGACCCCCTTGAGGCTGCAGTAAGGCCTGGAGTATTTAAAATCCACTCTGGGAAGTTGGCAGCCCAGGGCCTGAAATAGCCAAACAAGCTCCAGCTTGTGTCCCTGTCACCTGGCCCAACAGTGACTGTGGGGCAGGCAGATGGCGTGGGCCTGGTCAGGTTAGCTGTGCTTGTTTCTAACAAGGTCGTGTATTTTACTGGGAGGCTTGAGATCTGCCAGGCCCTCAAGTGTCTCCAGCACGGTGCCTGCCAAGAGCCCTGGACACCGGGCCGCTTTCCCATCGACCTTCTGCCTGTGGATATTCCCTCCGGGACTCCAGGCTGAGTAAGTGTGAGGAAAGTGGTACAGGGCCAGGCTGCTGCTCACCTTGGACTTCTGTGAGCCAGTGGGGCTGGTTGTAATGCTCAGAGGCAATAGTGAGAGTGTTGAGGAAGACCAGGAAAATCACCAGCCAGTAGAAGATGTTGGACTTGACTGCGGCGCGGCACTTTCTTCTGCAGAACCGATTCCATCGGCGCCAGTATCGGCTGAAAGGGGGAAAGGAGAGAAGGGCAGGTTGGCTGAGTGTTCCTCCAACCCTAGATGGACCACTCTGGTTCTTTTCACTCCGACTAACCGGCCTTCCTAGAGCAGCCCAATTTGGTGTCAAGCGGCCCAGCTTTCCATCCAGTAAACTGGCCCACGCCACTTAGTGGTATGGCCCTGGGGATGTCCCCAAATTCTTCTAAGCTTCGGCTCTCTCATCTGTGAAATGGGATTAGGGTCAACCTTATGGGATTGTTGTGGGGATTGATCAAATTACTTCATAATGAATCTGGCTGCATTGAAGTTGAAGGTGCTTGATAAATAGAAACATTTGTGTTTTCTAACGATGGCATATTTGAAACAGTACTGTTAAGTATTAAGAGCAGCACTAGTTATACTGGTGGTATGCCTGGTCCCCTACTAGGTGTGTCTCATGCCTCCTGCCCATTCTTTAACTCTGTGAAGCAAGTATTACCCTGACCTTGACCAGTATCACAGACTGGCAGAGCCAGGAGTGCTTTCTGTCCAGCCCAGCCTCTGGGCCTGCTCTAAGCTGTCTTGTCCACGTAGTGTAGGGGGCCTTCTGGAGCAGAGGTTCTTGGCTTTTATGAGGTTATAGAATTTTTTGAGAGTCTGATGAATGCACAGATCCTCTGCTCAGGAAAGTAGGCACAGCCCTGATGCTCAGCATGGTCCATGGATGTTTCCACAGTCTCCTGGTTAGGACTGTTGTCAGTGACTGTCTGTCACACCTGGTGATGCCTGGGCTTGCCCAGGGAAGCTCTGAAAAACTCCACTAGTCCCCAGGCTCCAACACCAAACCAATTAAATCTGATTCTCCAGGGGTTGGGTATTTTTTAAATATCCCCCCAAATACCATTGGCATTTTGAAAAGTTCCCTGGTGGCTCTCAGGTGTAACTATGGTTGAGAACCATTAGCCAGAGATCCAAAGAAACACTCACATTTTATGATTCTCTGGTGTAGGGGCTTACAGCTTCTCCCTAATTTCACCCTCTTGATACAGAGAAAATACACGGCTATATTTGGCAACTCAGGAGACAATGTATTTAATAAATGCCTACACTGTGCAGAGGAGAGAGGGGAGGCTTCAGAGGAGCTGGAGGAGACAGAAGCGGGCCCTCCGGAGGGTGCAGGCAGGGAGGGCCCTGGACTTCAGAAACCAGACATCTCACAAAACCAGTCCCTCTGTCACCTGGTAGACCAGGGATAGCATGAGGAAGCATCTTTCAGTTGTATGGGGTGGAGGTGGTAAAAGCAGTAGCTTTATCAACAGAAAAGAGGATCTTGCTTTGGCAGCAATTTTGGAGGAGGAATCAGTGGGGCTGAGATGACTGGATGTAGGGGGTGAGAGACAAGGGCACAGGGGGTACTGACAGAACACCTAGGTGGAGGGCTGGAAGGATGGCACTCTCCTACATAGGGCCAGGGGAGGAGGAGCGGTGCCCCGGGCAGGGTGGGCTGCACAGGTCTGCATTCCATCCCTGGGAGCGCGAAGACCCTCTCCGGTGAGCAGCAAACCTTGCAGGAGACACTTACCCACCACCTGGGGGAAGTTCACCACCCAGAGAAGAAAGACCACCAGGTTTCCAAACGCACACTAGCATCCTTGCATCCTCTAGACCAGTGATTTTCAACTGGTATGCCACAAACATTTGTAAAGACTGTTAATCAAATTATTTTTGAAAGAAGTTCAAGACACAGTAAGTATATTCCTTTATTTACTCTTTTTTTGGACCAAAAAGTGTAACTAGAGGTTCAAGGGTGCTGTGAGATAAAAAAAGGTTGAAAAACATTGCTCTAGACACACCATCCAGAGAGGACTGGGAGGTGGAAAGAGGGACAGAGGGATGGGACAATGAGTCCCGGTAGTCCTCAGAGAGAGGCCACCTCTGGAGGTGACCAATCTTGGCATTGAGAATCTTATCTTGCCAGGGCATGACTCTGCTTCTTTCCTGTGATTGTGATTATTAATATTGCAGAGAAGTTTGGTAAGATAGTTTTTTCCTCTAAGACAATGAACTTTCAGGACAAACTTGTATCTGATCTTAAATAGCTTACCTTGTAGTTACAAAGAACACTTTTAAAATAGATACAGTCTCAAGTTTCAGAAATCACTGATAATTGTTACTCAGAGTCCACAGCCATCAAAGCTGCCTTCTCTTGCGGGGTGCAGGAGCTGACTTGGAGTGAGATTAACACCAAACACTTGGTTAGGTTCCCCTCCCTGGTGCTGTGTGGTCAGGCCCATTGCACGGGTCTGGAGATGCTCTGCACAGACGCTGCAGGAGTGGCTGGGATGGACATATAGGACAGTGTCCCTTTAAAGTGGACTGTGCCTGTGCACAACCACTCAGAGGAGTCACGTGGATTTAGGCTGGGTGGTGGTGGTGGTAATTACTATCCAGAGAAAGTATTTAAAGATAATTATACACCTCCCACTCTTCAAAATATAGCTTTGCTTGACAACTGGTTTCCTGGCAACACTTCCTACTGTATAATAAATGTAATGGTTTATTAGAATGTGTAAATTTATTTGTGTTTACATATGCATGGAGGATATAGAAATTAAATGATAAAACAGGGAGGGGAAATTTGCCTGCTATTCATGCTCCTTTTGCATGAACCAGAAGTCATTTACTCTAGAAATAGAAACTTCCATATGCAGACAGAAGAGCGAGGGATGGATCTGAATGTCTCTCATCTACTTCCCTAAATTTCTGCATCTGCGTGCTCCCATGGGAAATCTCTGCCCTGCCACCCCAGGCTCTACCTGACCTTCCCCCAGTGCTGGGCCTTGCTCTTGCCTCTGCGGCTCACAGAATGTCCTCTCAGCTTACGTCCTCCGTCCCTTCTGTCCTGCCCTCCTGTAGGGCTCACGCTGACAACCTTTGCTAGTCTTCCTCGCCTGGGACTACTGGAGCTCTTTTATCTGCATTGCTCATTGTGGTTACACATTCAACACATAGTCACTAAACATCAAGCACAGGCTGTTCAACAGTCGTACAACAGACACAGGCCGCCTTGTCTGCACAAAACCCACACGAGACCCAGACCACTAAGTGTGCAGTCACAGTAGCGGGTGCTAAGTACATAGGGACAGAGGAGTGCACAGAAGGACATCTTAGGCAGGAAAGGGTCCCCAGAGGAAATGACTTACCATTTCCTTGTATTCAGTTATCTTTATTTTTATGGTTCCTGCCTCTCCAAGGAGCTCAGAAGGGCCACAAGGGAGATGGCTGTGTTGTTCACTTTCTTACAGACCGTGGTACTCAGCACAGCCCCACCCGCCCCCCACTCCCACCCCTGGCAGCAAGAGCCCTGGGCTGACCAGCTGGTTGAGCAGCAGAGACAACAGTATGCAGATTTGCTAACTTCCTGTGGAGGACAAGGCTTAGCATTCCTGGAGCTCTTCTGACCTAGGGCTGAGGGTGCAAGTGAGCAGAGGGCAGCGCTCTCAAGACAGTCTGCTTGGCATGCCACTGCCGACAGGCATCTGGAATACTAGACAACATCAAAATGATGGACATCACAGGCTCTTGCTAGTGGCTAGAGTAACTTCCCATCTTTTATTAACCGAAGCGAGGACAAGTGATACCAAACATCATCAGATTTAATTCTTTTATAAATAACTTAAAATGGGCTATTAGAGACTGGGGCCAATTTGGGTTCACGCCTTATCGCTGATGGTATGGCAAAGGCAGAGAATACTGGAAACACTTTCCACTGAGGACTAGGCAAGCCCAATTTTAGAACTCTGTGAAGTTCATTTCAGAACTCCATAAAGTTGAGATTCAAAACTCTTAACAGATTATCTGATTAATCCCCGCAGGTTGCAAAAGCCTTTCTGAATCTTTTGTTCTGTAACTGTTTACATACTATTTTGAACAGTGAGCTCAAAATCTTGCAAATTCCTCATTTTAACTAATTCCTCCAACTGGAGACCTGGATTACCTAGTATTATCAGAATGAGTCCATTAATCTGGTAAATTTTCCATAAAAGCCCATTCTAATATTTCTTTTCTATAAACCACGACTTTGTATCATTCGGTCTTGCAAATGAAACAGGTCACTTTCAAGCTCAAATTCTGTTGTCATTAAACTGTTTCATCTCAGAAAACGATTATGAATACTTTGATAATTTTTGGTGGCGTTTTCAATCTACTGTCAGCTTTGATCGTCCCCAAACAGACATCATCAGTGGGCTGTAGAATCCAAAATAGATGGTACTGTTTGCTGTCTGCTCAGAATCTCTAGGGTGACACTCTCCCATGTGGCAACCTCTAGCAACACATGGCTATTGCCCACATGAAATGTGGTCAATCTAAACTGAGATGTGTAGTAAGTATAAAATACACATACAGTGTGGTGCCTGTGGCTCAAGGAATAGGGCATCGGCCCCATACACTGGAGGAGGCAGGTTCAAACCCAGCCCTGGCCAAAAACTGCAAAAAAAAAAAAAAAAAAAATACACATACACAGGATTTCAAAGACTTAGTACAAAGACATGAATGTGAGATAGTACATGTACATGACTGTGTATATTAATTACATGTTGAAATAATGTTTTAGAGACAGTGGCTTAAATAAAAGATACTAAGATCCATTCCTCCTCTTTCTTTTTACTTTTTTTTTTTAACACAGCCACTAGAACATTTTACAAGTGCACGTGTGGCTTGTATTTTATTTCTGTTCAGTGGCATGGGTCTAGACCAGTGTTTTTCAACCTTTTTTTTATCTCATGGCACACTTGAACCTATAGTTAAACTTCCGTGGCACACTTAAATTATGTCGATCAAAAAAAGGAGTAAAAAAACACTGTGCTTTGAACTTCTTTTGAAAATAATTTAATTAATGATCTTTAAAATTATTGTGGCACACCTAAGATCTCTCATGGCACACCAGCGTGCCTCAGCACACCAACTGAAAATCACTGCTCTAGAGTTATCCACTATGTGCCCACGATACACCAGCCCCGCAGGAACAGGGACCAGTTGTGCCTGGGCAGAACCTCATTACCTGGTGGCACCATCATTGGCAGCAGGCCCCTGGGTATGAATTCTGACTTGGCCACATACAAGCCCTAGGACCCTGGGCCTCTCTAAGCCTCAGGATCCTCATCTGAAAATGGGTTTAAATGCCAACCTAGTAGTAATAACGAGCCATTGGGAAGTGGCACAAGGTCTGCTATTTCTGTTGCATCTTGAGTGGTGGCTAAAGAGGTAAGTGCCCAGGGGAGTGCCCACATAGCAAGAGGAGCAGAACCTCCAAGCTGAGATGCTGGAGGCGGACGGGCACGACTGCTCTTTCCCTGCTTTTCAAAAGCACGGGTTATATCATAGATCAATGGATTAAAACAAAAAACAAAACTGTCCAGAGTGCTCTGGGCAATCTCTAACTCAAGAGAGTCAATGCAAGTGTGTATGTTTCTTTTCCATCTCCAGATCACATCCATCCATTCTTCATTCATGATTCACTCATTTGCATGGAATGAGAATGACTTTTTGAAAATATTTTCAAATGTATTTTTATATCCCTTTCCTCTTACTGTGTGGGGCTTTGGAACTGTTAGAAGTACAA